GCCGCCCAGGCACAGCGCCTGGCGCCGCGGCCCCGCCGACAGCAGCAAGCGCTTCAGGAAAACCGCTTTTTTTCTCCCCTCTGGTGAGAGCCAGTTGCTCTTAGAGGTCAGGCACGGAGGGGCTGGTTTGGGCTGCGTGTTATAGGTACGCCTGCGTCGGGATTCGTCCTGAAAATGCGTTGTGTGCAAAGCGCCTTTCAAAAATCGGTCAAGTTGCACGGAGAATCTCTTGGGATAAATTAGGGAATATTTGCGGAGCAGTCCTCCAGAGCCAATGAAGCAAAATGAAGCCTGTTCGCTTAAACCTTTTTTGGCCATTTCTGATCTCTGCGCTCTTTAATCTGAACATTAGGAAGCTCTGGAAGGACTCGGCTCCTTCCGAACGGTCGGCTTTGTTGGTGGGAGCTCGTTTAGCAACATGTCTCATGCCTACAGCATTTATAAACACACATGACTTTATCAAGATAATTGAGATGAAGTTCATTGTAAAAAATGCTTTGTTTAAAGAGCAACCATTAAAATGAAGGACCCGTAAATATTTACGAGCAGTTCGCTTAATTCAAGATTAAGGGGAGAGCTGAGAGACCTGGTGTTTTATGTTTTTTTTTTACCTCTCTAAAAAAAGGGGGCAAAAGCATATAGTGCCAGGAAAAGGTGTTGCATTGCTTCCCATCCATTGTCGAGAAGACACCTATAATTCTTTTAAAACAGGAAGAACCGTGGTATAATAAAACCATTGAGATGGCTAGACGTCTGGAGCTAATGAGTTTACGATATGCTGTGGTGCTTTTCTTTGAAACCACCTTATTTTGATGTTTGTGTTTGTTAGAAAAAAAACAAAAATGCAGACAAGCTCGGTCTTAAAATCTTGAACTATAAATTTCAATATGTCAGCGTTGGACCAAGGCAACAGATTCAAAAAAGACCCGAAGGTCACAAAACTGAGAGATTTTACAAAGCAGACTGATTTGTTGAAATGTATTTTATTGGATTTTCTCCCATGATGAATTCTACCGTGATAGCGTCCATATTTTTGAAAATAACCATTTGGGGGATTGATCTATAACCAACAACATGTAAACAATATTCTTGCCACAGGACACTTTATTATGGTGATTCTAGCAGAGGCTTTGGCAAGAAATTGTCATCAAGCCCATACTATCTCGTCTTAATATTTTATCCCAGGCACAATGACAGATTTAATCTCGTATATTTTCTTTTTTTTAATCTATTTTTAATATTATGTGTGTTTATTTCAAAATGGCAGACAGAAGAACATGTGTCTCAAACTGTGAAACGCAGTGCTTCCACTTAAATTAGTGTATAGGTCAAACTAAACAATAATCTAATACCTATGTGTTGGTTGTGTTAATATATGTTTGTACATCTGCACAGTCGTGTGCACACGCACACGCATTATACCAAATAATTCTAAGGCGTGTGTGGTGAAGCTGGGGCAAACAGAGATTCATCTTTACTTTCGTTTACATCAGTCAATAAATAAATACATAAAAGCGAGGGCAAATAAAATAACGAGTTCGAGGTAAAAATGTGTAACTCTGAAACTACCACACATGGAGTATTCGTGGTGTACTATGTGGGGAAACATGATCGAAAACGCGATAGCAGCGGTCTTCAAAGCACAGTTGCTGGCTGCCATGTGTAAACGAGACGCATTCTTTGCATGTAGTTAATTATGGTACTGGCAAAAAATTAAAAGAAGGTCCCCGAAATGTGCTTAGAAAATGGCATTGTAAACTGCGAACAAAACAGAAAAAAAGAAAACCATACCAGGACAACAAAAAATTCCTTCCTTCGGGGGAATTACCTCCTGACCGAGAGCGGGGCCTGGCGATGTACAGCACCCCCGACCGCTGTGTCCGGCCGCGGCACGGAGGCGTCGCGGCCCCGCTGCCTTCTGGCGGGAGCACCTCT